ACTTCCACAGTGCAGCACCTTTCCATGGAAGGCTTCCCTCAGCACCACAGAGGAATGCTTTTCAGTGCATCTCACCTGCATGGAACTTTGATGAACTTCATCACCCAGTGAGGCCCGGTTGCACGGGCCCCAGAAAGGTATGGATCTTAGCCTGGTGGTGGAAAGTGAGGGTCAGGACCTCTTACAGGTTTGTTCCTTCCGTGGATGCTCTGCCTTAGCCCTAGGGGATGCCCTCTCTATGTGCTTTAACTATAATTCTTTAGAGTTATCTTCCCCTTAGTGGGTAGTCCCCTCTTATCCTTAATAATTCTGTACATTAAAATTTCCTTGTCCAAATGACTGTGGATATAGCACTTTATGCTTCTGCCAGCAATTGTATGAGAGTCCCAGTCCCTCTGCTGTCAGTTATTGTAAAGTCTTGTCTACTAACTCCAATGTCTGAATGATCTGTGTTTCTGCTTCTATTGTCTGTTTTTTCCTTTTGCTTATCAGTTATATTTTCGTGCCTCTTCACCTGCTTAGTTATTTTTTTACGTTGTATATAGGAAATATAGAGACTTCAGATGATGTGATCTGCCAAACAAAGTGTTCCTGCTTTCTTCCTTTAAGCAGACAGGGGTGAGGGCTGATAATCTCACCAGTGAAGAATTGAGCTGGGTTGGGGCTGAGTTGCAATTTTTATAAGACAATCCATCCCTGGTTTACACCTATTCCTCACATGTGGATTTTGATTAGGAACCTTCAGGTCCCTCTATCTTCAGCCATGAAGGACCGTGAAGGTTCAGGTCTGCTCTGCAGAGGTTCCCAACCCAGCTTTCCTGGCTCTGTCCCCATGGGGATGTAAAATCTGGCAAATATCACGGGGGCGGTGCTGGCCTTGTGTTTGAGGCAGGCCCCTTCTTTCTGGGGAGCCTTTGTTTTTTTTTTAGCATGATGGGACTGCAGAAGATTTCACTCTGCTTACTTAGACGCATTCCTAGGCCCAGAACACAGCAAATGTCATGTGGAGAAAATTGGTTGTATTTTTAAGGCCACCTGTGTTCCAATTTGTCATTCAAGTACCATGTGGGCACTAAAAGCTTTGCTGGTTTCTCTTTCCTCCATTAGCGATCTCCCTTCTGGGCAAAGCTTGATCATTAGCCAGAGCCCCTAACTGGCAAACGCGCTGGGGGCGGGGAGAGGGACCAGCTGAAGAGCCTCATGTCCTCTCACTGCAGAAGGAGCACTGGGCTACCACAACCTACTACATCCTGCCAAGGAGAGAAAATTTCCTAGGTCTTTGAAAATTCAAACCCTTTTCTCTTTTCAAACGATTGTTCTAGCGTGTATTTCAAAATCTTAAGAGTTGGTTGACTTTTCTTTCTTGACAAATTTCTGCTGTAATGTCACTACTCTGAGGCTCTGGATTGTCAAAATACAAATCAATGTTCTCCAGACTGTAGGTCACCACCCATGAAATCAACGTAGAGGTCCTGTTGGCATTTTTTAGTGAAACAGAATAGAATAGATCAGAGTGCAACACATAGTCAAGGTAAGTATTGTTTCATGAAATGTTTGTGTGTGTATATGTGTGTTCCAGTTTGCAATGCAAGCCTATATCTTTCCTCTGAGTTGGCAGCCAAAAATATTTAAAAGTCACTGGACTTTAATTTAAACAAAGGAAGAGCCATGGTGGTGAAAACAAACATATTAGTTGAGTATAGACAACTTTTTGGAAAAGTTTGGCCATGAGGGGAAAGTAGACTGATTGAAAACTGCTCTTCTGGCCACTAGAGAGCAAGAGAAGCCCATGTGAGGGATGAGCCATGAGCATGAGGACCACAAGCATCAGGGAGGGAAAGCAGGCCTGGCTCTGAACAGGGCCAGGACCAGGGTGGGGAGGGGGTCACAAGGAAAGCTGAAGATGAGAATTGACTGAACATGGATTAGTAAAGGCCATGAAAACCCTGAGCAAAGACCATGTAGCTCTTGGCACCATATCATGGGCAACCCAAGGAGGAAAGGCCTGTTCTTGGCACAGAACAAAGGTCAGCCGAGGGGATGAACAGACATGGGGTGGGTGAGGCTCCTCTGCTAACCCATAATTGGTGCTTTCAGGGTCAGTGAAAAGATCCAGTTTCAGCCACAGGCCTGGAGAGACTGTGACAGAACGAGTGTTGGTATCCTTCTCACCTTCTCCCTGCTTTCCCAACACCAAACACACAAGCCACTGACTGGCGCATCAAGGCCAAAGACATAATAGACTGTATGTCAGTCTATTGGCTGGGTGGGATTGGGCTTGGGGTCTCCTTATGTCTGAGACAGGGTGGGTAAGACCTTCTGCACAGGTCGTTGTCAGGTGTGTAGGCCCATCGCTACGCCCATGTCTGGCACACCATGAGTGCTCAGGAGCCCGGAGCTGCTTTAACCCCCAAGGACCACACTGCGGCTGGGAATTCTGGAGGAAGATTGTGTCACAATGACCTGACTGGCTCCTGGCCCCGAAGTGCCCCCACCCTCTGGGCTTGCCTACTTAACCTCCGGGCATCAGCTTGGCTCCGCTCTTAGACACGGCACTCAGCAAGTCTCAGGACACAGAGGCAAGCACGGGATACACCACGATGGATGAGGCACATTTGCTCATGTCATCGAGCAGGGAAGTTCTACTCTGGGTCAGTCCAGAGCCTCTGATGTTTGCCCAATTCTGGGAACACGCATCCTGCGGCTGGCCTTGGCTCTCAGGACCTGAAACTTGGGCCTGAATCTTGCCTGGGTTTTTGGCTTCTGCTATGCCCCAAGCACACCTACCCACGTACCCATTCGGATCTGCTGGAGTTTTTGGAAAGACTTCAGCTCACTCATGCCTCAGCATATAAGGTTTTCTGTCTCTGAGAGGTTTATCTGATTGTTATTTGTCTTTCAGTCCCTGGTTCAATCATCACCTCTCTCTCCTCTTCCCTGCATTCCGGCGTTGGTTTTCGTACCCTTTTCTGCCATGCCACCTCCACTCTGTGCCTTTTACATTTTTTCATTAATTTATTTTTAGAGACAGAGGAAAGGAGAGAGAAAGAAACATCAATCCTCTCACGTGCCCCCGACCTGAGACATGGACTGCAAACCAGGTATGAGCCCTGATGAGGAATCGAACTCTCCAGCTGTCCCCTTCCGGTTTGCGGGACGATGCCCAGCCCACGGAGGCACACCCGTCAGGGCTCCCGGTGACTTTCTTTTCCACACCACTCATGCCTCCATGGCACCCTGCTTTTGCTTGGAGGCAGGTTCTGCCACAGCATCTATACTAGGTCCACAGTAGGTGCTCCGACGGTGTTTACTGAGTGAATGAGCTGTCAAACCCAGGTCTCACTTTTCTGTTCAGTGACCCTGTGCTCTGAAGCCCCTATCTGCCAGCAACTGGGCCGTGGTTTATTTCAGGGTTTGAAGAGCAGAGGACACAGCTCAAGCGGGATAGGCTCCCTGCTGAAGACCCCAGCCACAGCCTGCGGGGTTTAATCTCATCATCAGTGAATCTCAGGCACCTGCGTGTGATCATTAGCTGTTTAATTCCATTCCTGAAGAGATAAATTACTAACGATTTGGGTATGAAAGTGGTAGAAAGGGGTAAGTCTTTGACTCTTGTGCAAACATTTCCACTCAAGCTGCAAGCAAGTCTGGCCACTGTGGCAGTCAGGGCCCAGGAGAGAATGTCCCTTCACAGAAGAGCCCATGAGGGGCTGACAGACAACCAAAACATGCAGACCCCTGCCTGCCTCCCCCAAGGCCTGTGGTAAATGGAAGAGAGAGGAAGAGGCAGCTTCTAGGGCAAGGCCCAGCCGGTCAAGACGAGCCTATGTCCCTCAGGTCCCTCCTCTATCAGTTCTGCTACTCCCTATGAAAGTGACATACTCTTGATTGCGCCCAATCCATGTCCGCCTGGCATGGGGACTCTTGGGGTCTGAAGTGCCTCTGGAACAGCAGGGGGAAGTGGGGATGCAGGGGGCAGAGTAGCTCTCACCAATTGGTTGCATGACTACCTGGGATGCCAGTCGAAACCTGTATCACACTGGGAGGCCCAGCGGGGCGTGAGGAACCCAGGGAAGTAAGGTCCTCTTTAGGCCTGGGGTGGAGGGTGAAGGTCTCAAAGTGCTAAGGGCTTCCTGCATGCGTAAAGCTCATTTCAAGTCATCATAAAGGTCCACCCACAAAAGGAATGTCTGAAAAATGACACTGATAATCAAAACTACAATGAGATACCACTTCATCCTCACTAGGATGGCTCTGATAAAAAAAAATGACAGATGGTAAGAAGTGTTGGTGAGGACAGGGAGACACCAAAACTCTCACATGTGGTTAGTGAGAATGCCAAACAGTGTAGCTACCTTGGAAGACAGTTCGAGGAGACCTCAAAATATTAAACATGGTTAGCATATGACCCACAATTCTTCTTTTAAGTATATATCCAAGAGAAATGAAAACATATGTTCATACAAAGACTTGTTTATAGCAGCTTTATTCATAATGCCCCCAAAGCACAAACAACCTAACTGTCCATCAGCTGATGAGCAGATTAACAACATGCGGTGCACGCATACAATGAAATATTATTCAGTCGTGAGGAGTGTGCTGCTCCACAGATAAACCTGGGAAACATCGTGCAGGGTAAAACGCTGGTCACAAAAGACCACATGTTGTATGACTCCTGTTACACGCAGTGTCCTGAAGAGGCAAACCCAGAAGTAGGTTGGTGGTTTCCCAGGGGTGGAGGGAGGCGAAAAGGAGGAGTGACTGCAAGTGGGTACAATTTTGCGGGGGAGGGGGGGCCAGTTATGAAAATGATCTGGAAACTGGTGATGGTGAGGGTTGCGTAACTTTGCAGATAAACTACAAATGCTAAGTTGAATACTCTAAAAGGTAGAATTTTATAATATGCGAATTCTCTGTTTATTTTTAAAAGAGGGATAAATGACGCCAGTGGACGAGTTAGCGGAACTGAAACAAGGAAAGGGAGCGCGCGTGTTGCCTGTCCCCGTTGCATCCTCTGAACGAACTTTGGGCCCAGGAATGGTGCCCCAGGAGGGCCTGGCGAAGCGACCCTGGAGGCAGGATCTAGAAAGACACACGCCCGGAGATTCTAAGGGAATACGGTTAAGGTTAAGATTCTAAGGGAATTCGGGATCGCATAGGGCTGGGGAGGCTCAAGAGTTGGCTGGGCCCAGTGGAGATTTAAAGGTTGGAGCGCAGAGGCTCTTAAAGGGGCCGGGACAAATTCCCATTCTGCGTCCACCTTAAAGCCAGCTTCACGGAGCCCCGAGTGGGACCTGGGTAAGTGCGCAGGGCCGCGGGCGGGGGCGGTGGGCGGCGGGCACCGGTCGGTGACCAGGCTCGGCGCCCTGCAGTGTCCCGGGGACTCCGCGCGGGTGGCCGGCACTCCGCGGGCAGCGCGTCCTGGCGCCGGGGTGCAGGCGGGGGCGGCTGGGTAGCGGCGTGGGGCCCGCTACCCCCGCGCCCGCGGCGCTCTATTTTTAGAAGGCGCTGTTGCAATATAAGGAATGCGCCGCGAGGCAGGCGCTCCGGGCGCTCGCGGGCTGCGCGGTCGCTTTAAGGAGGCGCCAGGGTGGGGACAGGCCAGAGAGACCGGCGGCCAGCGGGCCAGAGCCGTCAGTCTGGCTGAAGCATGGGAGAGGCGACCTGAGGGCCAGAGCCCAGCCGGGGCTGGAGCGTACGGTGAGTGGTCGGGGCAGCGGGCGCAGTAGTGGAGAAGAAGGGAGGGCGCCTGGCCCGCGCGGCCCCCAGCCCCGGCTGGCGCTTTGTTCCGGGGCTGGAGGTGTGGCCGCCCCTGGCCGCGCTCTCCGAGTTGAGTGTGCATTGAGACTGGTGGTAAGTAGCCTTTAGACCCCGCCACAGGCTCCCGAATAACGGTGTGCGATCGAGAAATCGGCCACAACTGAGACTCCCGTGGGGAGGGCCTGCTGACCTCCCGAAGAGCCTTTATTATGATCATCGCCGTTGGGTTCCTTGTCTGCCAGGCGAGAACCTGAGGGGAGGTGGGCAACGCGGCTGTGGGGGGCGGGGGGGGGCTTTCTTTCCTTTTAAAATGGCGTTAACAAGCACTGGATCCGCGGGTGGACTTGTCAAATTCAGCTGAATAACAAAAAGCAGCCTTCTTCAAAAGCAACTCTACACTGCGCTTGGGGCTCTGGTCACAACTAGGACCGGGCTCATTCATTGACCAGATGTGGCTGGAGCGCCCACAGTGTGTGGGGCACAGTGCCAGCTGCCGGTCCGAGGGGAAGGTAGGAGCGCAAACCCAGCTATAGCCCAGTGTGGTGGGGCCTGGGATCAGGGAAGCTCAGTGGTTCTGGGAGCAGACCCAGAAGAGGGCAGGGAAGGCCTCTTAGAGGAGGTGATGCCTGGCAGGAGCATCCAACGGCCCTGTTAGACTCTGTGGCTGGGACCGAGGTCTGTGCTGGCTGGGGACAGAGCCGAGCCTGGAAAGGTGGACAAGGGCCACTTCATCGTGGTCCTTGTCACAGAACCCTGGGCTTGTCCTTCTTCCCGCCATGGGCCCCTGCTTGGGCTAGAATAGTTCTTTCCATTCCAGGACTCAACTGTCCTGGACCTGACCGGGACAAGGCTCAACACTGCAGCCTCAAAAAAATGACCTCCCTGCCAGCAGGAGTAATAAGGATATCTGACTTGAAAAACCCCTCAGTTCTACTGAAATAACAGCAGCCAACAGGGCTCATGCAGACCAGACATGGATGTGCTTGATCGTCATTGACAAGACTCCTGCAGAAAAGATTTTATTATTATCCTCATATGCAGGTGGTGAACTGGGGTCACTAATGTGCCCGAGAGCCTTTCTAGAGATCATGCTTTAGACCATGCAGCTGTTCAGGACCCTCCAGGGACAGCCTGTGTCATGCTTTTGCGCTATTGACTCTGGTGGGTGGACATGTGGGGTGGTGAGCTGTTGCCGTGTATTAATAACTGACATGTGTCATGGGCTTTGCTCTGAACAAAGCACTTTCACTGAGACAGTTCTTAGAGTTTCTCCTGCTCCTCTTCAGAGGGAAGAAACTTGAGCTGGCCAGCATTTTGTAAATCTCCTAATTTCCTGTAAATCGTGTGTCTCTGCTGACTGGGGTTAAAAATGTTTCAGGCCATGATTTTCATCTTTGGGTCTGTTCTCACTGCCCAGAGCCCAGTTAGCTTCTCTGTCTGGGTTATGGTGTTCGTCCTTTCTCTGCGAGGCCAGGCAGCATGGGGCTTTGATGCTCTGGGAGTTTCAAGGCTGCGGGGTCTGCCAGCCTCTGTCTGAGGAGGAGTGAGTGTTGAGTAAACCTGATGCTCTGGTGGAAACTGCCTCCCTGCTGCCACCCCCCCAACCCCGTGGGGAAACTGTCTCACCATTTCCTTATGGAGAAGGAGGGGTCAAGGCCCCTCTGCTGAGCCCTGGTGAGGCAAGGGACCGTCTTCCCGAGTTGCCAGCTTTGCCTCTGCATAAAGCAATTTGTATTTTTCCACTACTCATGTTTTCGTATACATAAGACATTTTTGTGACAGGTATAACTTTTATTATTAGCTCTAATTACAAGTATTTTACGCCTTTCATTATCTGAACTGCTTATAAAGTGACATATCAGTTAATCCTGGGGTTGGTTCCTGAGCTTGAGTGATCCTGGAACCAGGGAGGACCACTGGGCTCTGAGGAGCTGAACTAGCTTCTGTGCCCTAACATCAGTCAGAATCTCACGTCAACCAGCCTGCCAGACTGAGTGAGTTCTCAGGGAAATGTGACCTCTATTTTATATTTCACATCTGGTGTGATCATTGTTCTACCCATGAAATACCCTCAAATGGAGTGTGCCTCCCTATAAGTTATTGAAAACATACATGCTTGTGAGCATTGTATCATTTATACAAACCATACTCATCTGAACTAAGTGGGAACACATTCTTGGGCAAAGCTGGGATGTTCTCAAGCGTCCAGAGGGTGTGCATTGAGTTCTAGAAGCTCTGTCCCTGCCAGGCCCAGGACAGGCATCTGGCTGGCTATACAAAGGTATAGTTACCTTTGTCTGGGTAAGAAAAAGGAAGTCGCTGGCAGAGTTTCCTGAACCTGGGGCATCTGGCAGGTGCCCATTCTCTAGAGGCTTAGCAGAGAATTCAAGGTTTGAGGAGTTTTGCTGGTGGACTCTGAGGACTCACCAATCCTCATAGTCATGGGTGATGTCACTGGGCCCTATGGTACTGGATCAGTAGGGGTGCTTTTGGCCGCAAATAACAGACCCCAAGTAATAGTGGATTAAACAGAGTTTAGATTTCCCAAAGATGCTCTCAGCTCATGTGAGGTCTGTGCACACAGGGATGGGATATCAGTGCTACTTCCAGCAAATTCTTTCATGGGGCAGGCAGCCTCTTGAATATGCCAGTGAGAAGCCCAGAGAAAAATTGTTTGAGTATACAATTCAGGGGATTCGGGGATCTCTGAAAACAAGTCCTGGATCCCCGTTAGATCCCCTGGTCTAAGCCAGATTGCTTCACTACTGTTTACCTAGGATTTACTGTGTTACTCTGCCTTCCCACCGGGCCAGCATGCCTTCATGGTACAGACAGTGTCAAGAATGAAAATAGAGTGGGGCAGCTGTCAGTTCTCTGCCTGAGTTGAAGTCTGTGCAGTCAGCCAGCGAGTCCGTCTTATGGAACTCTGACCAAGAAGGCAATGCTTCTGCCACCTTGTGCTTCAGACAAACCAAGGGTGCCCTCCTTGATGCCCAGCATGCATTCCTCGGTGCCCATCTTGTCTTCTGGGTAGCATTTCTGCTGCCTGTGATGTGGTTTTCCTGACTATTCTCAGAGACTCCACCAACTGGCCCTCCTTGGCCTAGCCCCCACATCGGGGTTAAAAGAGCCCCTAGGCCCTTTTAACCGCTTGGCATGATCCAAGGCAGCTTCCTGCAGCCATCTGTCTTGTGGGGGTCATGAAGTAGCAATGTCCTTTAGTATTCAGTGTTTTTTAATATTCTTGGTAGCTTCACTAGGTGGGGCCTGCTGATGGCCAATGGCCAAATGACAGTGCGGGCCATTATTGGTTGCTGAGGTGACATTCTGGGTCTCAGAGGGGCATATTCTCATCAAGAGAGCCTGGCATCTGTCTATCTAAATTTACATCTGGGTTGTATTGCTAATGAGATTTCGGAGAGCACCAGGAAAGGATTTAGCTGTGCAGTGTGTAAAGTGAAGGAGGGCGGGGCGGAGAGAAGGGGCCTCTGAGCTCTGGTTCCTGCCCTCTGAGACTATCTGTAGGGCCTTGGGAGGGTCCCATGCTGCAGGGCCCCAGGCACCATCTGTGACTTCTCTGCTGAGCCCTCAGGGTTGTCAAGGGGATTAGATGAAATACACAGATGAGAATGTGCTTGGGTAAGCAGAAAGGGTTATAAAAATGAAGAGCATTATCGGCATTCAGACAACCTTCAGATAACAGAATCCTGGTCCTGGAGGGGCCCCTGGAGCCCACGTAGACTGGGCTCAGACCCAGTAGAACACATTTCTCATAGTGGTGAGGGTGATGATTCTGGGGGGGGGGGGGCACAGGCAACTCTTACTAGTTTTATACTTACTATTAAAAATGCAGGCATCGTATCAAATCTTTTTTTAATGAATATTTAGCTCAGACTAAGGCTAAAGAAAGATTTTTAAATAATCCCTTGAGTAAAGGCTGGGAAACTTGCAACAGGGGAGTCCCTCCCATGCAGCCTGTGAGGCTTCAGCTGGATCCTTCTGGACCCAGGGAGCTTGCTGCCTCTCACGTCACCTGCCCCCAGGGGCATGTTCTCACCCTTGCAAAGTTCTTCCTTTATCCCCTTAAGCTGTCCCACTGGGTCTGAAACTTTGACGGTCATGCTTTTCTCCAGCATCAACAGCTCTATCTGCTTCAACTGCTCCTCAAATGGCATGGTTTAAAGACAGCCTCTCCGTGTGTCCATCCGCCTGCCTCTCCCTCTCTCCCATCTCTCCTTCCACGAAGACTGGTGGGCCAGACACTCTGTATTTGCCACTTCCAAGCCTCACAGTTTGGCTGTGAGGGAACTGAGGTGAGGGAACTGAGACTTGGAGAATTTCAGCAGGCCACTCACAGTCCTACCCTGAGAGAAGCAGAGCCTGGAAGGAGTCTGACCAGGGTCTGCCTGGTCACGAGCACACGCTCCTTCTTTCACTCTGCACTGCTCCCGGAAACGGAGGACCAAAAACGATACATCTCTTCTCTCCTGCTGCTCATGGGACAGTCTGATGGGGCCCTGACCGTATGCGATCAGTGC